AAATCTCAATAAATGATTTTTTTTTATTGAACTTAAGGGGATTCGATACCGTGATTTTCTGTTTTTGTCTAACACACGGGCGACATCGTATTTTAGACGTGTTTTTTGCCAAACATTCCAATTGATCTATTGAAGCTATAAGATTTTTGAAAACAGATTTGAATTTGTCGTCAAGTCTACTTGAAATCGATTTTCCCACATTTTTGATTTTTTAATTTTAACTTCTACAATAATTGAAATACCAGAATGTTTAATTACTCTTTTTGAATATGACATTTTAAAAAATTTGGGGGATAATATCAAAAATGTGGGAAAGTCGATTTCAAGTAGACATGACGACAAATTCAAATCTGTTTTCAGAATTCTTATCTCTTCATTAGATCAATTGGTATGTTTGGCAAAAAACACGTCTAAAATACTATGTCGAGCGTGTGTTAGACAAAAACAGAAAATCGCGGTATCGAATCCCCTTAAGAACGGAAACTGGCTAATAGCTGTTTTGGGGGATGGTGGCCTCACTGTCTAGACAGTTGCCTGCCCGGAGAAAGGAGCCGCCCGTGGTCGAGTTTCGAACCAACGACGGTTCAAGTCGGAACCGACGCCGTAGTCCACTCGGCCACTCCGTCCCCCAATAAATAATTAACCATCGCTCCACTCCGAGTCTAAAAAAAACCTAAGTTTATATTATTGAAAAAACATTCATTTTAAACTGCGGAATTTTTTTAAATATACTAAACGTTTTTTTATATCACCTTTCTTTCGATTGACTGCTATCTGTTGAGGATATATTATGTACGTACCTACCTATCATTAATATAATATTTATTATTATCGTAACACACTAGTTAACACAAACTTAAGTACCAGTTTTTACGACTACGCAAAGATGTACAAAGGTATACTTGATGAGAGATTTTGCTAGGAGACCGTCTTAAGAATGTGTTTGTATATTTTTGAAAATACTTGACATGCTGTTGTGTCTTGGTTAAAGCTTTGTATCCAAATATTTCACTTTGTTTTCGCGTGTACGGAGTCACGAAAACGTAAGAAAATGCATTGCGTGCATAGGTACACATAGAATTTAATATTTATTATACAAAGCGTGTTTGTAATGTATGGTGTGCTTTTTGGAATGTTCGTAGGTGGAGAAAAATGTACCTACTTAAATTTGTTCATCAAAATATTTCGTGCTAATATTACGTATTTTCGTGTCACTCATTCGATAATATTAAATTAATAAGATTAATTTTGTCACAAACTTTTATCTGATGTTTATAGTTTGTCTTATCTAATAGTTTTTAACGAAGCAGCTTTAAATGGACATCAACCAGTAAATATAATAAGATTTTAAAATTAAGTTAAAAAGTTAATTTTAATTTGTGATTTTAATTGATTTATTTTAACTTAATTTATTTAACTTTAATATTCATATTATAATAATGTTTTATTATTTTTTCTATCAATTTTGTTATCCCTACTAAATTGAATTTTCATTGTCGGAGAAATATTTATTTTTTTCATTTATCAAAGGTCATACTGAAATTATCTTTCTCAGAAGTGAACACGACTGTGATGAATGCAAACTACCACAAATCTGACACGTTTTCACTGTTTTCAGGTATAGAAACATTTAATTTATCAAACAGTACCTAACATATATTGTAAAAGTAAGGAGTCCTGGATACTAGACAAACAATAGTAGGTACCTAAATATTATAACATGTACCTAATTACAATTTTAAATAGATAAATTCAATTGGATATACTCAACTTTTCGGCCAAAATGTACCCTTCACTTTTCGGCCAGCACCTACAGTTTTCTTTAAAATGTACAATTAAAACACCAAAATTTTTTGTATTTAATTAAATATTATTGCATACAAAAATGTGATTTTTTTTAAACATTGTACCTACAACTGTACAAAAACTGAAAAAAATAAAAAATAAAACAATTGGCAATAAACTGTTATAACATATTATTATTACAATTAATTATATAATATTAGTATTTAAGTATTTATAATCAATGTCATTGTTTACATAATACATTAATCGAATAAAAATTATTATATAGTCACTAGCTGATCCCGTGCATATCGTTTCCCGTTAAATGTACTAACTCTATATGACTCAAACATTATTCAATGCGTTATTTAATATTCGGTGTATGATGTTCTAGATTTATCTTAACTTTTCTGTTGCCCGGAATAAAAATTCTGAATTGCAGCAGTACATTATCAGATAGGTAATTTACCTGCGATAGATCGCGGACCCCGTGCTGTTTGTACGTAAGTGTATGATTTAACTCAAAAAGTACCAAAGTTATACCAAGTTTGACGTTTTTACTTAATTCCACCTACCTATAAATCCTAACCTAACCTAACCGTACTAAAATCCGATGAATAAAAAAAACAAATTTAACCCTTTTTAAATTAGCGTATCTTCTTCCCATAGGTCTAATCTACACACCGTCATTCATTTATATATAAGATATATTTACAAAAAATAATAATACAAATCAACAAACATGCCCGATTAACCAATAGCAACCAATATAATATAATACACAATAGAGTAAATAAAGACAACGGTATCGAGTTCAAATCCCAGACATCAATAAATAGTTTTTGCAGTTTTTCTAATTATTCGGTTGACTTTTTAAAAATTTTCTTTCGTAAAAACCTTCACCTGGCAATTACGAACATCTTAAAAAAAATTTGAGCAAAATCGGCCCAGCCGTTCTCAACTGATGCAATTTCGAATTTTTTGTCTCCATTTTTATATATATAGATAATGTCATATAATAATACATAATATAGGTAATAAGAAGGAATATACTATACAGTATGTCCCAGAAGTCCCATATCACCCTTAATATCTCCATGGAAAATCAATATATTTAAATGCAGTTTTTTTACAGTAATGAGTATGGAAATTCTGATTGAATAGCATAATATTTGATTTTTTTTTCAAAAATTCAAAAATTATCAAAAAAATTTTTTAGGCAAATAAGTTTTTTAAATTTTCAAGATAGCTATTTGGTTGATCGTATTCTTTAAAACAGTTCAAAAAAAAAAAAAAAATATTAAAATGTAATGAAAATTGCCAAGTTAAAGGTAATTATTATTTTGAATTTCTAAGAATAATACTTGTGCTACTTACGCATACGCCATTAACAAAATACGATTCGCATGTTAATTATTACAATCATGCTGATTTTTCGGCTAAAATTAAAAATAATAATAGCTCTAACTTGGGCGAATTTCATTAAATTTAAATTTTTTTTTTTTTGAACGGTTTTAAAAAATACGATCAACAAATTGGCTATGGATACGGGACTTCTGGGACACGCTGTATAATAATAATTATGATAGAAAAATATGAATTCATGAATATGTCAAAATATTAATATTTCCGATTACATAAAACCATTTTATTGCCAATTGTTTTATTTGATTATTTTTTCACTCCGTTGTAGGTAGTAAAAAATAAAAAATAAAAATCACAGTTTTGGATACAATCATATATATTTATTAAAAATAAAAATTGTTAAGTTCAGTTGTTATAATTGTAGAAGGAACAGAAGTTTTGTCCGAAAAGATAACGGTAAGTTTTTACCGAAAAGTGACACTGGCCGAAAGGGAAGGGTACATTTTGGCCGAAAACGATGACGCCCACTCGACTACATTATAATTTAGCCTGGTTAACATTAATACTTCATAATATAGTATGAGTTTGAGAATAAATATATATTGCCATTTGTGTGACGTTTGTGCACCTATAACGTACTATTGGGCTATGAGTTGACAACTTAAATAATACAAGAAAATAATGAATTATAATACATGCGGCCGGCGAATAAATTATATTATTAGATTAAGAGGACGTAACAGTGGTATTCGTTGTCTCCGTCTTACAAGTGCGTTACATGGCAAATTTTAACTCAACAGAACACATGTAAGTATGTAACTTCGTTAGTTTAAACATTAGAGTGAATTGACCTATTATGAAAATTGATGGTAAGAACATCATCTGTGTTTGTATGTTGGTTTTTTACGATATTTCAATTTTGTTATGCGTATATAATCAATTACCGTAAATTAAAAATGCTCATAACTCATTTAAAACCTGAATTATCGTAAAAAAACAACGAGCAAACACAGATAATATTCTTACCAACAATTTTCATAATAGATCAATTCACTCTAATGTTTAAACTGACGAAGCTACAAGTATTATTCTGAGCGTAAATTTGCTATGTTACACACTGGTAAGACGCAGACAACAAATACCAGTGTTACGTCCTCTTAAAATTGAGATTATTTATTTTTTTATATTTGGTGGCCCCCACAAAGATAATTGTTCACCAAAGTGGCCCAACAATGAAAAATGGTTGGGTATCACTGAATTATATTAAGCTTTTGGGAAACATATTTTAATAGATAATATATCGTTATAATAATTTATGTTAAATAGTTATGGCTGAACAATAATTATTATTATTTACATATATCATTTTTCCCTACATTATTACTCCAGAGGGTCTCCGAACTTCCGCGATCCCGTGGCCCTGCCGCCGGCGGCCGGAGAACGTGTGTCGGTGACTTACCGCCGATCACCCCAAAAGTGCACTTTCACGTACCTTATACCTCGACCCCACATCTCTTCGCCTTGACTGCTGCCCTCAACCAAGGTGTCGGGTTTTGCGGACGCTTTTCCATGGTTATTAGCAACCTAGGCAAACGGCCGCACGTCCGGCCAGTATGACTCCCTTCCCCGCGGCGGCCTTATCCACCCGCGTGAAGTCAGTGCAGCATGGGTTGCCGGTTTGACTCCGGTTTCGCCGTCCATTACCTCTGACATGATCCTCGCCTCATCCTCGGTCGGAATTTCATCGTCTACGATGACCTCAAAGTAGCCGATGGTCGCCATGTCCTCCTCCTCTTCCTCCTCCTCGCACCGCAGTACATCCTTTCCGTTTAAGGATGAGTCTCCGGGCTCTACGTGCGGCGCGGAGGACAATGTTTCCGGCACAAGGTGGACCATAGCGTCGACCAATTGATCGACGATGGCGACTTCCGTCTATCTTTACAGTCCACGTTATCGGTGTCGGTATCCAGTTGTAGACAGTGTCTAAATTTCATGGCTACAATGTCCAGGAGAACCGACTGGACGGTCGTCTCGATTTGGCTAGAATCGGAAACCACTGCCGCGATAAGGTCTTCCAGCACCTCCTCGACGATGGTGTCGACGTTTTCCAATAAGTTTGGCATAATTTTGTGGAATGTATGTGTTGTGCAGGTGTAAGATTTCTTTTTTGATTTTTTTATGCGTTTTTTACCTTATGCAAGGTATGGAAAAATTATTAAACAATAAGATAATATATAAATAAAATCATAAATTGATTATTGTATATATTATTTATGTGAGAAAATTACTATAATATTCGATAAATGGTACGTCGCGAAATATTAACTGATTCAAAATGTGTAATCGGACGCATGAATAAACATCCAAACGAAAATCTCCATGACAACAAAATAATATAATATTGTTCAAAATTGAAAATATATTATACGGCCAATTTATTTCCAAAGATATTACATATTAATATGTACGTTTCAACATTATTCATGTTAACACGAATACTTGTATTGTAATGTAATAATTTTAATACCTATCTTTACAATATAGCTTTATAAACCTTAATAAAGCACCTTTGTTGCAAGTCACAATAACTTTTTTTCTTATCTCAAGAAATAATTTTCATCCAAATATTTGAGGATTTAAAATAATGTCATTAGTTTACTCTAATATGGAATTCAGACTTATAATTAATTTATTGATACTCGATCGAGACATCGAGTACCCGTCAGCTTGGAACATAGGTACCCAATTTTCAAAATATTTAGATTCATTCTATGTTATTTGCATACCATAAACCTTTTTTAATGATATACGTACATATAACTGTTTTAATTATGTTTAAATTTAATAGTTATCGATATTATTAATAAAATAATATTGTAATACAATGTAATATTATAACAACTAGCCAAAAAGATAATTCTGAACATTCACATTTGTAAGGCGTAGGTATAGGTACTTTTTAACAATATTATCATGATAATGTGTCAGTATAAAATATATTATTTTTTCGATGTGGTTTCATTCATCACATGGGGAGGGGAGTGGACATTGAACATTTGAACGGTCTGGAAGGCATACTTACCCAAACAATACTAATCCAATGACACAACTTATAAGTACCTACCTATACGAATAAAACCCGTCATTGTAGGGCATGCAGTTGTTGTTAAGTGAAACACGTTAAACATCACGGTTGTTGTGAATTAAATAAATTTTATAATTAACTATTTTTACGTGGTAAACATTAAAAAACGTTTATTTAAGGTATGTAATTTGTTTATTTATTATTTAGTAATAATAATTGCCCCTTGCGGCTTGCATATAATATTCATCTATATATATCGTGTATCAGACATTCAGACATCAGTTATAAAACTATATTATAATATTATAAAGAGGTAAAATTTGTTTGTATGTAATATGGGTACCTAACTAATGGTAATCTCTATAACTACTAAACAGATTATAAAAATTCTTTCACTAGGTAATAAAAATCAACAGTGTTACGCTATTCCCGAATAGCATAGTAAAATAGATTATGTAGGCTTCATAGTAATCTAAGTACCTATATGTTATAGTGTATTAAAGGGCCTTTTTTGTGTTCAGGATAACCTCGAAAATTATTGGCTTGATTTACATATGGTCAGGAGAATCACTTGCTGTACTCAGGTCTCAGGGTATACTTTTAAGTAGGTACCTATTATTCTGTATAATAATTTTTGACATGCTAGGAACATCCACGCCACTAGACCACGCCACCAAAAAAATTTTAAATTTAATTCATAATTTAATAATTATTTTGACAAGAAATTATCTAAAAAATATTATATATGATATTAATAGTTATTACTATTTGTAGTCAGTCTTGAGTCTGCTGATATCAAAAAGTGTATGTAATATACTTATATTATTGAAAATTATACATATTTCAAAAATAGACACTAAAATTTTGCGTTCTTTTGTTTGTGAGGTTGTAAAAATTAGTTGTTGGTTATGTGGTAGAATATTTATAACTTTATAAGCAAAAAATACTCCATATTTTAGCGGGATTTTGGTAAATATTTTTCCTCCACAAAAACGTACTATTTCATTCTCCTAACACACACACACACACACACACACACACACACACACACACACACACACACACACACACACACACATACGTGCGCGTGACATCGACCACCCTTCATTATGTACCCAGGACTCAACGACATTAAAAAAATAAATAATTAAATAAAACAAAAAAAGACCGCCTAAAATTATAAAGTATGGGCTTTCTATCATGCCATCTAGTCCTGTATACTTGACCCCCCCCCCCATATTACCTATTGCAGTGGCCTCAAGCTCAATTTGCCAGCGATCCACACATTAATACATCCAAGGATCACGGGCAAAACATTTTCGTAGACCTTTTTTTTTTTATTTCTTATGTCTGTAAAATATATAATTTATATATAATATAATGATCTGTGAGTTTCTCTCACTGCCCACAGATTAAGTTTACTATACCTATACACTTCACCAATGGTCACAAATCACTTTATGGAATTTTTTTATAAACATATATAAATGTATTATATTATAATATAATATTTAAATGTCTATACGTTTGTAATCATTATAAATTTGTTGAACTATTGCTGGCCACATCGAAATTGTTCGCGAGCCCCCTATTTAAGACCACTGATCTATTGTATACATTTTGTTACAGATTATAATATATATACATTCTTGTTTGTTCTAATAAAAAAAGAAAGAAAAGAAATATAATGTAACCTATTGAAAATTGTATTTTTTTCAAAATTTGATAAAGGGAGTTACAACATTACCGTTACACTTTTTCGTGTAGGGGGACTAGGGAGGAGTACAAGATATTTTTTTGGTCTTCCACAATTTTACAAAATAAAGTATGTAATATAATACTGAACCGTTTTTAAATTTAATTTCGTTTTAATAACGAACCTGTAATCGATTTCATGGAAAAGTTGATTTCGGAAATATTGGTACATATTTCATTGTTGCATCCAAGTCTTCACATTAGGTATATGAATGTTTACTCAAATTTTGAGTCTGTTTGGAATTAATCACTTTTGTTCAAAGCATAACAAATTTTTCACAAATAATAAATAATTTTGATCACTATTTTTTTTTACTCCGGACGTAAAAATAATCAATAAAATAATATATTTTTAAGTTGAAATACCATAAGAAATTTAAAAAGAACATCTGTTGACTCCCCGATACCACAATTGAATGCAACACTATTTATTCGCCCCAATAACCTACCTATGTCCTTATATTATTATATATACACGTACCTATTTGTGAAAATACAATTATTATTATGTACCCCAAAAATATAAATAGGAATAGTACCTAAGTAGTGACCGAGCAGCTGTACTTATAAAATAATACATAATATTAATAATATGTGTCTAACAAGCAAATAATGCTGAACGCAGCCTTTTTAATGGTCATAAAATCTACCCCTTAGAAGGGTAGTGTGTTTCGACCCTTCGCGATTCGCATCAACACGTGTTTTACGAGAATGGCCACACACGATGACGCTGTAATAAATATAAAACAATATTATATATATAAATATATTTATGTAGGTAAATTAATCCTCTAAATATAGCGGACACTCTATAGGTCGTCTAAATTTGGTCAGTATTATTCGGTGATATCCATTATTCAGAGAGCGTTCAATATTGTTTTGTGGGGAAGTAAAATATTGTACTTTGTATCCTACATTATTAATAACTAGGTTCATACATATTATATTTAATGTAAATGATAATATTTTTTTATTTGTTTTATAGTACACGTGTAATTCTTTATAATTTTATTTAATTAGATATATAATATATAATATATATAATATAATATGTATAAGTATTTATGATTTAAATATTTATGAATATAGGTATGTAAATTTCATAGAAATCGCTCACTATTTCAGCCGTCACAGACATTTTTGTTTAAAAATCAATCGATGGGGAATAGTAAATAAATAACAATTGATGTTTTACAATTTTTTATTTGCGCGATTCGCAATCATAATAAATTTACTAGAATACTAGAATATTTATCGAAATCGATGCCATACATAAACGTGTCCACGTTAAAGTGTCTTATACTTATAAAGTGTCGTAGAAAATGTGGTTTTGGTCGTCGTAGAACAATAAATTGTATAGTATTTTAAAAATAGGATAATTTATTAAAAATCTATCATAATACATTTTAATATAGTTATGGAATTTTGCACAAATAAATTTTGTCACAAAAAAACCATTTTGTTAACTCAGTTCTGTGACGATAAAACCACGCACGCATTTCAGAAACACCGATATATTTATATAATATTATACCTAGGTCTAGGTACAATATATTGATACACATTTCGTACATGAAGTGGTGTGTAAAATATGTCATATGAAATATATTTATATGTATTAATATTAATAGAAATGGGAATGATTTTATACTCTGTGACTTCGCGGTATATATTAATATATATTGTATATTACGGGTGGTCAGGCGGCTGTATCAATTTTATATGTGAAGGTCCGGATGGATATGACGTAGGTATACGATGTGTAATGTGTAAATACAGTGGCGGCCTGGGAGAAAACACAGCCCGTGAAAATCCTAATTTTAGTGGCCCTCAGTTTACTTTATGTACCTAATATATATGTATATACTCTTTTTTTAAGCAAAATTTACCTGTTAATTTTTGAAATATTTGAATTAATTGATATAAAATAAAATAAAATAAAAAAACTAATGTAAATTTGTTAGTTAGCGTATATCTCAAATAATTGTTATGTGTATAATTTAAACTACAGTTAATATTATAATATTATAATATATATTTGATATTTGATTTTAAGTGGGCTCTAGCTTGATTCATTTTCGTTCGAAAACATAGCTTACGACTTTAATCACTAAGCCCAATATAATGTTCTGATATTTATTTTGAAAGCAGATTTGTATGTTTCACTAAATTGTCTATGCTTTGACGATTTTATTTTTCCGATTTTTATTTTTATTTTTTTACTTAGAAATTTACTAACAAAAAGAGTAAAAATAGATCATATTCATAATTCAAATTTAAATA